GGACTTCTTGGGTCCCTGGGATGGGAGGACACCGGCCCGACCCGAAGGCGCCGGGAGGGCCAGGGAGAGACCGACCGAGGAGCGCACGGCATCCTCAGACAGAGAGCCAGGGGCCGGGGTTGGGGCCGGATCGCCAGAGCCGGCACCGACACAGGCTGTGGAGATGAGGACGGGGACAGAGAGGACGTCCCCCAATGGAAAAGAAGGATCCAGCAGAGGGGGAAAGGTGGGGGAGCCGAGCCCACAGAGACTGGCACCAGGGCTGTCCCTGGCTGGTGTCCGCAGCCAGCAGCTGTCTGTCCGGCCAGAGCGCTCTGCCCTGTGGCCACAGGTCCCTGTGTATGGGCCCCTCCTCACAGGGGTAGTGACCACTCAGTAAGGCGTCCGCACAAGGGCAGTCCCAGTTCTGCCCTACTGGGGGCCAGAGGGAAGGGGGTGCCCAGGCTGGGGGAGTGCCCGTGAGTCTGAGCACCGGGAGAGGGTCATCTACAAGATCTGCCCTGCCCATCAATACCCAGGCCAGCTGGACAGCCACAGCCTCCCCCAGACACACACCCTTACACCCAGGTGCACCCACAGGAGCACACCCCAAGAGATCTGGCTCACAGCCACTAATTCACCCCCAGAAACACAGCCAGAGACTCACCCTCTGCTCAAGTGTCAGTGTGTCATAGCCGGTGGGTTCCAATCCCAGTTCCAGCGTGGGACCTGGGCACCTCCCCTTTCTGGTCGGAACCCCACTCACCTCCTGCCTAAGATGGGGCTAGTTCAGGATTGGCACGTGCCAGCACCCAGCACGTGTAGGCTAGGCTATAGCTACAATTCCTCACCTCACCCCCCAACCTCAGACCCTCTCCCTGGTGACCCCCGGGCTGTCCCCATGTGCCTCCTGGGCTGGGGAGAGTCCTGGGGGGCCCCTGGCACTTGTTGGGACAGGGTTGGCGGTTTGGGGTCCTTTCTGCAAGTGTATACAGAGCCGCCGATGAGGACCCTCCTCTGTCTACCACTGGAGGGATGTGGAGGGGAGGAGTGA